GGGTGAATGGATAAACAAAATGTGCTTACTGATGCAAGCAAACAGCACTCAGTAAAAAGGAAAAAAAAAATACATACTGCAGTGTAGAGGAAACTCAAAAACATTATGCTAAGGCACAGACACAGCCACAAAGGCCGCAGATTACAATTCCATTTATATGAAAGGTCCAGAAGAGGCACATCACTGGAGGTCATCGGTAGCTGCTTGCGCAGGGAGTGGGAACATGCAGAGACTGCAAATGGGCTTTTTTGGGGGGGCACAGGAGATGTTCTAAAACTAGATTGTGACTGCATCACTATAAACCTACTAAAAGCTATTTAACTATAAACTGAAAATGAGTGCATGTTACGGTACATAAATTATATCTTACTAGTTACTAAAAAATAAAAAGGCAAAAAAATGTACTCCAGAAATAAAAGCAAGTTTGTCTTTTGAAAATGTCAGTGTAAACTTTTTACATACTAATATGCACTAGTCTCTCTACCTGCTAACTGATAACTCCAATAACGTGATAAAAAAATAACAAACATTCCAGTTTAATCACAGGGACTGTTAAAAGGAAAATTCCTTAGACCAATTAAATTTGGTAGTTATCTGAGCAAAACAAAACAGATTCGTGAATGGGCAGCTCCCAGAAGGAAAGCAGGTTCTGAGAACCCCAAACAACAAATCAGATTGCATATTCGGAAGATCATACAGCATTCTCAGAAGACAGAAGTGGGATACAGAAAACAGCTTAGTCAACCATGCAATCAGTTGGCTACAGCTTAGCTATTTACAACTCAAGTTAACTGGCTATAGGGCCTCCTGCAATCAACCAAAGTTTAGCTACTGTGATTAAACTCTGTGCTGATTTGGCCTATTGGGCCTATTCCAAGTACCAAGGCCAAATTCATGGCCCCCTACAAATTTTATTTAACAGAAGCCTCCTCAAATAAAGACAACTAAACATACAGCACAATTGAAGCATTCATTTCATCATCTTCTTCATCTTGTTAGACTTGCTTAAATCACATTATTTTTAACCCTGTTCAAACCTGGGTAAGTATTTCCAGGTCTATTTCTAAAAAGAGTTTTAGGTGAGACCCGCAAGAGATGGGGAAAGTTATAGTTTAATGAGAATTCATTTATTCTTGCCATGTGAGAGGATTTCCAGAGAAGACGAAGAAACAGTCAGGATTAGCAAATATAGTCAGCTCCTCTGAACAGCTGCAGACGTTTAAAATGTCCAGGGAAATAATCTTCTTAAGATTACCACCCAGGAGCCCTGTTCTCTGAGGGGGAAAATACTCTGGTGGTAAAATGAACTGGGAAAAATCAGACTTAGGACCTAAAAACAATTACACACAATTTTTTAAACATATTTTATCTTGATATTTTTCCCTTTGAGAATTTCTGCAGAACAGATGTGATAAGCCTCTCAAAAGAGATACTTGCTAGGAGAAAGTAGTCCTAATTAGGATATGTGTCAAGGAAATATAATTATCAATTTGTCTAATTAAAATGAATATCTGAACATGCCTTAGGAATGCAACTCTTCTCAGGTGAGACATGCACAATTTATATTTTATAAACATCCATCCGCAGAGCCTAGCCCATTATATTAACAAGGAACAGATGATTGAAACAGAGCCTCACCTATCACACTACTGGAAGAAGTGCTGAGAATAATGTCACTCATGTAAATCACTGCTGAGAGAAAGGGCCTCAGAGCAACTGCTCTTTCACTCCTTGCACAGGTTTCACTTGAGAAACAAAATGGCTGATTCTGAAGGGGATTTCTAGTAGTGCAGGCGAGGGTCAGCAAAGCTGTGATTTTAGGGACACTTGTTTGAGATAAATGAACCCCTCTGATAGGCAGTGTGAGTTCTAAAAGAAGGGAAGAGCCAGTACCTTTGCGTTCTCTGGCAAGTCCACCTCCATAGGCTAGACGCTGTGTTTCTGCAGAACCAATATGGCCTTAGATACCTCTAACCTATCAAAGCTGCTGGGCTCAGCTTACATTCACCCAGATCTCTGCAACATCTGATCCTGTAAAACATTCTGCATATGTCCTCCCACCCAGCGATGTTGTCACACTAGCTCCTGGCTTTATCTTTCAGAATTTCTGGCTGTTCCTGCTCTTAACCCTCCAATGTGGTCCTCTTAACCTTTTTTTTTTTTTTTAATATTTATTTATTTTTTTAGTTCTCGGTGGACACAACATCTTTGTTTGTATGTGGTGCTGAGGATCGAACCCGGGCCGCATGCATGCCAGGCGAGCGCGCTACCGCTTGAGCCACATCCCCAGCCCTCTTAACCTTAAATACTGATGTACACTAAAGTCACAGACAGTTATGCATGCACCGTCCACTATGTCACACTGTTCCCCTTAGCAACGCCTTTGACTCCTAAAAGAATATCATTTACTCCCCTCTCTGTGATGGTACTCATACCTTTATCACTAGCTGTGCACTGCACCCCACAAGTTGCCAGCACCTCAAATCCATCTCATCAAATGTAAGCCTGTTCCTTCCTCCCTGGCATCAGCTAACATCCTGCCACCACCCAGGACCAGTACTTAAAATCCCAACTCTCACTGCAGTGCTCTCAGAGCTCATGGGTTACTTTTTGTGTAATAGCTTTGTACCTGGATTCTGAGCCCCTGAAAGTTTGGTATGTGACCCCACTCCCTGCCATTTTCTATTTTCTACAAGACACCGCAGAACATAATATATATTTCTCCAACCTAAACGGAGAAAAATAGCAGAGTAATCCGTAACTCTCCTATACTGAGGTGGGGGACATATACTTGGTGCAATCACTTTGGAAGACCATTTGATAATAACTGGTAAAGCTAGGGATGATTATATCCTACAATCCAGAACTCTGCTCCTGGGTATACATCCTAGAGAAACTCTCCCACACGTCCACAGAAAGACTTGTACAAGAATGTTCCTAACAGCACTGTTAACAAGAGTGAAAAAACAACTAAATGGCCATTGTATCAGTCAGGATCAAAGCAGGAAATTGCTGGCATACTCAAACTAGGATAAATAAAGGAAGATTTTTAAAGGGAATTATTTGGGATACGTTGGGCATGGAGAAACTACAACAGTGTAGTACTCCACAAACAGAAAAGCAGACCTGCTATCACTCGTATACCTACAAGGAAGAAGGGAGGGAGTGTTGCTACCCAAATCTGGAAAAAGAGTCTGAGAAAAAAAAAAAAAGACTATTGAGAGAAGCAGCAGCTTCAAGGGAGGAATACAGCCAGTGCAACACAACTACACAGGAAGTGGTGTAACAAATATGCTGACTTGGGCTTTCCCCTCCCTCTGGTCTCTAGCTGGGGCTTCCTGATGGTTGAACACAAGGGAAGCTAAAGTGCAGGGAGTATACTGGTAATAGCCCATAGAAGTCAACCTGCTGGAGCACTGTGGAAAAGGGGGAGAGATTTGGAAAGGCAAAGGTAGAATAAAGAGAGGCAAATTTGAAGACTCTCAACATCCATCCATAAAATGTATAAAGCATATATTTATAAATATACGCATCCATTTATAAATACATAAATATTCCCCAGTAGGAAAATGAGATAAGTGGAACTACTTATTTCACTACAGATAAATCTCAAAGATGTCATGTTGATGAACAAGGTCAAGCCCCACTACAGAATGGCACCATAGCAGGCATGTTTTCCCAAATCTGCCACACATGAATTTCTGGCTGCACACAACTTCCAGAATCTTGCCACTCTCCCACCAAGAGTTGCAAAGAAGGAAAAGAAAGAAGTTCAAGTAGAGAATTACAGGACACACCTATTTTGGATAGGGAGGTAGGAAAGTCCGAGGAAGCAAATGAACTTTCAAGTTGAGAAGGAGCCAGTCCACCAGAACTACCAGTGGTACCTGTGGTAGCTCGGAAGAGCAGGTGCCAAGACCCTCAGAAGGAAAAGGGCTTGGCCCTTTTAAGCACAAATCAAGAAAACCAGTGAGGCAGGAAAACTGGGCAAGGGTGAATGGGCATTAAGCCAGATCATGCTGGGCATTTGGGTGATCTCCCTGGGGTTGTAAAGCTGGGGGCGGGGGGAAGGGGAATCGGGAACCTGGCTTCCTCTTGACTTATGGCTGACATTCGCTGAGCGCCTAGCATGTAGTGACGGTGGGTTACACCGATACTCTGATCTGTGGACATTCCTAACAGCTCTAATTGGCAGATTACCTCCGTCCCGCATCCTGGGGGACCACGACTCTGGACGGCCTGCCACTCTACAGTTAGCATGGATAGCTGCTGCTAACACAGCAGCGAATGACTCCATCTCAGTAAGCAACCCCTACAGCGGGGTGCACGGTGCCCCGTGGTGAACGACTTCCGGAAGGGCACGGCCTCCAGGAGCGCTCCTCCAGCGCCGCCCACGACCTCACGAGGCCTCCCGTCCTACAGACGGGGAAACTGAGGCCGGGTCCGCTGAGGGCCGTGGACTAGGCAGGGCTTGGAACTGCAGAGCCCGAGCTACTTCTAACTCCGCTCGGCCGCTTCCTCTTACTCTCACCCTCTCGTACTGCCAGGCCTGGGCACCCGAGGACGCCGGCGCGAACGCCTGGCTCGGACCCGCCTCTCGGGCCGTGAGAGCGGGCGGTGCGGCCCCTATTGCGGTCCCCGGTCCCGAGTGCAGCCCGCGATGGGATCCGGCTGGAGGCGCGCGCGCCGGGACCGAAGGCTCCCCTGGCGGAAGGTTCCACATCTCGGCAGATCTTTTCCTGGGCGAAGGCCAGCGGTACCTGAGGAAAACGCGTCCAGGGTCCTGCCCCGGGCTCTGTGGAAAACATCCCCAGCCTCCGCAGCAGACATGGCGAGCGAGTTTCTGGCCAGTCCGGCGCACGCTGCGTGGGAGGGAGCGGCAACCCCACAGCGCCCAACCGCTGCGTGCCCGACTCTGGGCGGTGCCCTCTTCTTGGAGGCGGGGCGGGGCGGGACGGGGCTCGGCCCCTCGGGGCGCCTCTAGTGCTGCCTGGGCGGGACCGAGGCATGAGCCGCCCCTCTGGGATCGACCTTGGCGCCTAGCGAGAGGAGGCCGGGTGTCTGGAGCCCCCACACACAGCCGCTGCCTTTGGCTTCAGTCTTTGGGGTTCCTTAAAGGTAGAGTTGCCAAGTTTCACAAGGAAAAGTCCAGCAACCCTCCCCCCATCACCCCGTTAACTTGGAATTTCAGATATTTTTTTTAAATTTAGTGTAAGTATATCCCATGTAATTTTGAGAGATACTTATGCTCAATTTGTTTTTCATTGTTTATCTAAAATACATTTTAACTGGAAGTCTTGGTTTGTATCCTGATGGCCACGCTATCACAAGGTCCCAGCACAGCCCTAAAGGTGACAAAAAACCTTTGCCTGGTTCTGCCCCAGCCTGCCTGTCTCCCGCTAACACTGCAGCCACACCAGCCTCTCAGTTCATTAAACATGTAAATCCAGGCCCCTCTTTGCATATGCAGTTCTGTCTGCTCCTGCTGAGCCCCTTGGAAGATCAAGGCCTGTCCTGAAATGACACTGCCATGGTGAGGCCTTACCCCACACATTCACAACACTCTCCCATTCTAAACCAAGTCTCTCTCCTGCTTCATTATGCCCCCCCCCCCTTCTTGTCCCTCGTTGAACTTTGCATAATTGATAGTTCCATGTTAATAGGTGGAGTTCTTTAATATCTTCTTTCCCAACTCAATATCTGTGGGGGTAGCTAGCTTGACTGTCTTGCTGTTGCTTGAATAAATAAATGGATGAAGATATGAAAGTTTCATTTTTCTCAGAAGCCCCCAGCAAACATCTGTTCATCCCTGCAGTGCCAGTAGATACATGCTCCCCTCTGACCCAAGGTCACAAGGGTAAATGATAATAACCTCTGGGACCAAACCTTGTCCCCACTGAGTCCCAGCACCAACCTTTAACCTCACACCTGCCCTCTCATCACTACACAGGGCAGTGATTACACTGTCTTCTGGAGGTGCTTTTTCAGTTCTCCCTTTCGTTTGCCAGTCTGGAGGTATAGAGGAGGCACACAGGCAGCCTGAGAGGAGCATAGTCCTGGGCATTGGGCAGATACAGTTTTTAGTGCACTTCTCTTTTAGTGTGACCTTGGGCAAGTCACTCAATCTCTCTGAGCTTCAGTTTCCTCATATAAAATAATATGATCATAGCACCAACCTTGCACGGTTTGCTTGAGGATTAAATAAATCTGTAGTCCGCATTTCCAGATCAATCTAAGTGCCTGATACATTTTTGCTATAGCTGATATCATTAGGACTGTTGGTATTATTGTCATTATAATTGTTAATGTTGGAATATCCTCCAGTTCATTATTTTCTAGTTGGAATTCTATTCCTCTTTCAATGTTCTCTTCAGGCATAACATTTTAAATCAATCGAGCTTCATTTCATTGCAGATAATAAAAAATTTGTTCAAATTGGCTTAACTGGAAAAAGAAATCCATTGGCATGCATAAATTAAAACATGACAGCAACTTCAGGAGCAGTTTGACCCCGTTATCCATATGATGTTGTTAGAAACCAGTTTCTCTCTATTTGCCTTCTCTGCCTTTTGTAACTTTGGCTTTGTCTTTGCTCTTCACAGAAAGGACTCCCTCTCATCACTTGTAAGCTCCTGTCTCCTCCATAGGAGCAAAAGGACTGCAGAGGTTCCAGAACTCATCCTCTGGAGACACCACCCAGGGAGGAGAGGAAAGAAGTCTTTTTTCTCAGAAGCCCCCAGCAAACATCTGTTCATCCCTGCATGCCAGTAGATACATGCTCCTCTCTGAATCAAGGTCAGAAGGGTAAATGGTGCACTTAGATTGGCTCGAGCCATCAGGGCTACCCAGGAGATGGAGGGGCATCAATCTCACCCCAGCCACTGCTGGGAATGAGGAGCAGAGTCCTCTTAAAATGAGATCTGGAGGCTGTTGCCCCGAGAAAGCTGATTTTTAAGAAAAGCCATGTTATGATTTAGATATGAACTGTCCCAAAACCTCATGTGTGAGACAATGTAAGAAGGTTCAGAGGTCAAATGATGGGGTCATGAGAGCTGGAACCTAATCAGTGGATTAATCTCCTGATGTGGATTAATTGGGTGGTAACTGTAGGCAGCAGGATGTGGCTGAAGGAAGTGGGTCACAAGGGCCTGCGGATCTCTCTCTCTCTGCTTCCTGGTGCCCTGTCCTGAGGTGCTTTCCTCCTCCATGCTCTTCTGCCATGACGCCCTGCCTCACCTTGGGCCCAGAGCAGTGGAATTGGCTGATCGTGGACTGAAGCTCTGAAATCATGGCCAAAATAAACTTTTCTTCCTCCAAGTTGTTCTTGTCAGGTCTTTTGGTCACAGTGATGAAAAAGCTGACAGAAACAAGCCATTCCATTTCTCGTGTGGAATGAGCACAGTGAGGAGGCTGTCAGCCAGTGACTCCCATGCCCCCTCTACCCTTTTCTCCCACCCAGTCCCTGCAGCAGCGACACTTATACAGTGACCAAATCCGAGTGTTCTGTTATCTGGAGACCTGGCTCTGCTATTAAGAGCATCAGTTGCTGTCTGGGGCTTTAGCACAGTCTCACTCCATGAAACGAGCAGAGTAATTTGTCCACACACTCGAAGGCCTTGGGCTGTTGGACCTTTATAGTTCTTCCGTCTGCCTTCATAGATCACCTGTCTCCTTGCACTCGGGCTATGAGTGGCTGCTCTGGCATCTCCCACTAGCAAATCCCCACCACCCCGCCTCCTTCCCTTGCTTCTCATCTGCCCAGGTTTGTGAGGCCAGATGACTAAGGCTGTCAGAACTATGAGCCAGGGTGACTTGTGAATTTGGCATAAGTGCCTGAGGTCTCTTTTAGAGAATGGTGCTTTGCTTTAATGGGTGTAGTCACTCCTCCTGAGACTGTTACCTTAGCTGGGTCACAGGGCCCAGATATTTGTTTGAACATTATTTGGACATTTCTGTAGGGATGTTTTTTGAATGAGATTTGTATTTACATTGGGACTTGAGTCAAGCAAATTATCCTCCATAATGTGGGTGGGCCACATCCAATCAGTTGGAGGTCTGAATGAACATTAGCCTGACCTCCCAGATGAAAGAGGGAATTTAACTAGCCAACTGCCCTTGAACTTGAACTGGAGCATCAGTGCTAATATTGGGGTCATCGGCCTGCTGGTCCACCCTGCAGGTTTTGTACTGGGCAGCCTCCATAATCATGTGAACCACTTCCTTAAATTAAACCTCTTGCTGTAGATGTAGACACAGCACATCGATTCTGTTTCTCTGGAGAACCTTAATACAGACTGGGAGGTCTTTCTTTGGAAGTGTCCAGAGCTGAGCTCATAGTTATCCGTGTTCGGAAGGGAAGGATAATATTCCCATGTAGTGCCTTTGAGCTTGTGGGACCTGGAGGGCACTAGGTAGCTAAGCACTGTGGGCGTCAGATGCCCCTCACCTCTACTTAGTCCTGACCAGCACCTGTGAAGGTGAGGCTGGGGATGGGCTGGGGATGGGAAGGGGTCTGGGAGAAAGGGCAGCCCCTGAAAAGTAGGGGTGTTTTACCTTTTTTTTAAAAAAAAAAAAAAACCTGAAAATTAAATGGCTGAGTTTTTAGACTAGGACAAAATGCCATGTGTACTCTCAAAACAACAAAATGTGAATGTTATTTTTAAAAAATTACCAGCTTAGCTGATATCATCATAGACTGGGTGGAAACAAGACTTACAATTCTTTTTTCTCTGTGCGAGATGATAGGAAAAATTTATGGAAAATTCCAACTAGACCTGTGCTCTGCAGCGGAAAGCGGGTTCACGACCTTGGACCTTTCAGACATCCCTACGTCCCTCATCGGTGAGTTGTATCCAACTCACCTTTTGTTTTCATTATTGGAAATAAAATAATTATACACCTTATCAATATAGAATCATCCCCTACAAGCACCCGCCAAGATGTTTCCTGCACATTCTCTTTTTATTCCAAAAACAAAATGAAGTTTCGCCTCACTTTCAAGATGAGATCATGGAGCCTCCGTGAGGAACCATCCCACTATGTTCCAAAATGACCAAGCTGAGATTCTCTCCCTGCTGCTTTCCGTCCCTGGTCATTGATTTCCATGCCTGTGGTGTTCTTTAGAACTCTGCCAGGCCTCCCTGTGCTGCCTGCCATCTGGCTTCAGGAGTTTCTTATGACTTGACTTTGAACACTTGTTCCCATTGGACATCATTGTTCAGGAAACAACTGGGAGTTGACTCAGAGGTTAGACTGCTGACCTGGTTTAAGATCAGATCATGTGACTCGAGGTAACTGGTCCACTTGCTAGCACTGTGGTCTTAGGCAAGTCTTTGGACTTCACTGAGTTTCCTTGGCCTCACTAGTAAAGTGGGGATTTTCATGTCTGACTACAGAGTTGTTGGCAGAATTCAGTGACAAAGACTGTTTAAAGTATATCTCACAGCACATACTACTTGCTCAATAAAGAGCTTGTTAATATTATAGTGGCTATTATTTCAGAGAAGCCACTGACAACTTCCCAACTAGGCAGAACATTCAAGCTCAAAGGCAGACCCAGATTGGAATAGAGAACTTGAGTTCAATAACTGTCCCTTGGGCTGGGCACAGTGGTGCATGCCTGTAATCCCAGCAGCTTGGGAGGCTGAGGCAGGAGGATCACAAATTCAAAGCCAAACATAGCAACTTAGCAAGGCCTTAAGCAACTCAGTGAGACCCTGTCTTTTCATAAAAAAAAAAAAAAAAAAAAAGGCATGGGGATGTGGCTCTGTGGGAAAGTGGCCCTAGGTTGAATCCCTGGTACCAAAAAGAGAAGAAATCGTATCTGTCCAGAGTCCTTTCTTGTGTCCTGTTTATTCAGACTATATTGTCCAATGCAGTGGCCACTGGTCACATAGGACTATTTCCATCAATAAAAATTAAATAAAATTTAAATAACAGTTTCTCTGTCACACTAGCGCATTTCAAGTGCTTAATGGCCCTGTTTATATAGTTGGAGTTTGGGGGAGTGGAGTACAGGACACCCAGTTAAATTTGAATGAAATAAATTATGTTCCAGCATTATTATGGTTTAGATATGTGTCCCCCAAAAGCTCATGTGCGAGACAATGCAAGAATGTTCAGAGGTGAAATGATTAGGTTATGAGAGTTTCTAACCTAATCAGTGGATTGATCCACTGATATGAATTTATTGGGTGGTAACTGTAGGCAGGTAGCATATGAGTCACTGGGAGTGTGCAGTTGGGGTTTGTGTTTCATTGTTGGTAAGCAGAGCTCTCTCTGTACTTCCTGGCTGTCACATCCTGAGCTGCTCTCCTCCACCACATCCTTCTGCCATGATGCTCTGCCTTACCAAAGGCCCAGAGCTATGGAGTCACCCAACCATGGACCAAACCTCTGAAACCATCAGCCAAACTGAACTTTTCCTTCTCTAGCATTGCTCCTGTCAGGTCTATGGTTACAATGATGAAAAAATAACTAAACAAATATTTACATTAAAAAAATAATTTGATGATAATCTGAAATTCTATGTAACTGGACATCTGTATCATGTCTGGAAACCCTAGGCTGGTGGCTGCCATCTTAAACAGAGATAGGGAAGGTTCCATTGTGCAGAGATTGCTACTCTATGGTGCTGATTCAGAACATCGATGGTCAACTTGTATGTAGTTGATGATCCTGTATCTGTTACTTCTCTTCCACTGTTCATTGGCAGATCATTGGCTTGCCCAAAAACCCAAACAAACATTCCTAATGAAGTCCTGGGTCTTTAAATCCTATAATACTAATCATCCCAATTCTTTTTTTACCCAGTGACTTGGATTTCATTTATCCACTTGGGCTTGTGTTCATCTGTCTCCTTTCTTCTCTATCTCCCCTGCATTGATTAACACCCTCTTGTAAATTAGCTTCTGGATGATCATAGAGGCTACTGGTACTTTCCAATCTTCATTTTCTTAATCTGGATAGCGATCCCAGCCTCCTGAAATATTTACATATTTTTACAATTCTTTATTTTAGTTTTTAAAGAAAAGCCTCCCTCTTTCTCAATAAGGAGAAAATGTGTTTTTTTTTTCTCCTTAAAGCTGTAATCCTCTTGATTCAAGTGTACACTGAGTGTACAGTTGAAGCTGTTTGTAGAGATAGAAGCTCCCCGAGGCTTATATATCCACTGGGACCTACTAAGTGTCCAGAGCAGGACCTGATCCATGTAGTGCCCTTAATTAACATGTGATAGATTGAGTTTGCCTCTCAATTTAACTTGCTAATGTTGAGTGTTCTGAGGGCAGATTTCAAATTCTATCTGATTCTCCCCCTTCCTTGTGTTGCACCATTTTACAATAAACAACAGCTGCACGATTTTACATGCTTCATCCCCCGCATCTTGCATCTTTCTTTAATTTGTCATGTGTCCACATAAAGTACCTGCAGTCAGTTCCTGGCCCTCTCTGGATGACATTTCTGTTATTGGGGGGCTCAGGACAAAAGGGGTAAATCCCTGGTTTCCTTGGCAAATACTCTTCACAGCTCAGCCTTTCCTTATTTTGTGTTTCCATCTTCCCCCCTGCTGGGCACAGCTAATGTCATAACAATGCTTTGTTTCCCATGAGAAGGAACAATCACACAAAAGTTGGAATTCGACAAGTTTTACTGGTTTTTATCTTCTCAAAGCGCTAGCCTGGTTTTTTTTATTGAGTTAATGTTCTGGAGAAACGAGGGCTGTAGGGCTGTACCCGGATGCACTCCAGCAGCAGGAGTCTGGATGTTCTCTCTCGAGACTTCAACACATCGGTCTC